ACCTTATGGAACATTCTCCTCATGTGAAGTGAGGTTAGCTCCATTCCTTTTAATGCTCTGGAAGACCTATGACATCAGACCTGGGGGACCTAAAGAACAGGAACTGGAAACTTCTTCAGATGTTTCTGCATTGAGCTGGCTGTGCTCTCTCTCTCCCTCTCTCTCTCTCTCCCTCTCTATCTCTCTCTCTCTCTCTCTCTCCCTCCCTCCCTCCCTCCCTCCCTGGAATCTGTATATATTTTTAATTTTTATCACTTCCGTTTTTACATTTTACATAGATAGATGATAGATAGATAGCAATAGCAATAGCAGTTAGACTTATATACCGCTTCATAGGGCTTTCAGCCCTCTCTAAGCGGTTTACAGAGAGTCAGCATATTGCCCCCANATCCATCCATCCATCCATCCATCCATCCATCCATCCATCCATCCATCCATCCATCCATCCATCATTATTGCAGGCTAATTCTGCTGATTGCCAGCAGTTCGATCCTGAGCAGCTTAAGGTTGACTCAGCCTTCCATCTTTCTGAGGTCGGTAAAATGAGGACCCAGATTGTTGAGGGGCAGTATGCTGACTCTGTAAACCACGTAGAGAGGGCTGCAAAGCACTGGGAAGCGGTGTATAAGTCTTAGCACTATTGGCCAGTATGCAAAGATGACAGCCAAAAACAACTATCAAAAAGTTACTCTAAAGGAGGCTTTGACAGGATCTCCCCACCTTCTGCACTCCAGGAGAACATCAATACCAAACAACACTCTTGCAATAAAGTTATTTCCTTCCCCCAGTCTGTAATTGGTTAGACACAGTCCCCATCGCTCTGTATTAAATTGGAAGCGTTTCGGTCCAAACTGCAAATGAGTAAATTAACGAAAGAGGAGCGATGAGTAATCAAATCTGGAAGTATGCATTTAATTAAAATCGAACGCCAAGACACAGCATTGTCGTACGGTTCCTCATATTAAAACAAAACATTATATTAAATTAACAGACAACAATTTGCAGCGAGCAGCTCTTGAAGCCAAAAAAGGAACGGGGGATCTGACAACAGTACAACGAGTTTGGCTCTGTTATTGTTTCAATCTTAAGTTGTGTCCACTGCTGTGTGAGCCTCAGTTGTGCTCATTGATGGCATCTGAACTCGCTGGAGGCAGTCTCAAATCCATTTGATGCTTAATCAAATGTTGACTCCATTTGCGGTTTCAAATGGAAGGGCAATGAAATCTGGCAACATCAAATGCTAATGTGTGACACCATGTTGAAAACAGGAGTGGGGAAAGATGGTTCTAAAACACTTCCTATTTTGACAGAGTTGACCACAAGTTCTGGTGAGGGTTTGCAAGGGAATTTTTTGCCCACCTTGTAAATCATAAACAGAATTAACCAGATTACAGAGTTGGAAGAGACCTTGGAGGTCTTCTAGTCCAAACCCCTGCTCAAGCCATTATACCACTCCAGAGAAATGGTTGTGCAATCTCTTCTTTAAAAACTCCCAGTGTTGGAGCATTCACAACTTCTGGACGCAAGTTGTTCCACTTATTAATTGTTCTAACTATTAGGGAATTTCTTCTTGGCTCTATGTTGCTTCTCTCCTTGATTAGTTTCCACCCATTGCTTCTTGTAGGGTGAAACTACTTTTGTCTTCCTTTTTCGCTTCCTTCTGCACTTTTAAGAGCCGAAGTGGCGCAGTGGTTAAATGCAGCACTGCAGGCTACTTCAGCTGACTGCAGTTCTGCAGTTNGATACCTCCCACTGAAGAAGATATCGAGAATAATCAGATTAACAGAGTTGGAAGGGACCTTGTAGGTCATCTAGTCCAACCCCTGCCCAAGCAGGTGACTCTACACCATTTCTGACAGATGGCAATACAATCTCTTCTTGAAAGCTTCCAGGGATGAAGCTCCCACAATCTCTGAAGGCAACTCCTGTTCCATTGGTTGATTCTTCTCACTGTCAGAAAATTTCTCCTGATTTCTGATCTTTCCTTGACCAGTTTCCATCCATTATTCCTTGTCTGGCCTTTGGGTGCTTTGGAAAATAGGTTGACCCCCCGCTCCTGTCTGTGATATAAAGACTTAGTGGTCAAGACACCAAGTTAGAAAGCAGGAGATTGTGAGTTTTAGTTCCACTTTAGGCATAAAAGCCAGCTGGGTGACTCCAGGCCAATCACCAGGCGATGGTGAATTCTAGTCCTGCTTTAGGCATGAAATCTGGCTGGATGACTCTGAGCCAATTATCAGGAGATTGGGAGTTCTAGTCCTGCCTTAGGCATGGAATGTGGCTGGGTGACTCTGAGCCAATTACCAGGAGACAGTGAATTCTAGTCCTGCCTTAGGCAAAAAAGTTGGCTGGGTGACCAGTTCAATTACCAGGAGATCAATTTTGACACCCCTGCTCTAGAGGTTGTTTTTTTTTTTTAACCCATGGAAGAGGCTTCGGGTATTTTTTCTACCTGCCTCAGTCAAAATGTACATTTCTTTTTCATTTCTCCCAGTGAGGTTTTTGGAGATGATGGTTGCTACTGTCTCCCGTGGCCTTTTTTAAAAAAAAAACCTCATTCTGAATTCTTCATGACCAACCCATGAAAACCGTCCTTTCCTTAGGGAATTAAGGAAAGCGTTGGACACTAGGAGGTTGCAGAACACTGGAGGGATGAGAGGACGAAGAAAGAGAGGACATTCACATTGATCTTTTGGCCGCTAAGCTAAATGACTCAACCAGGGCCGTTCTCCCATCTGTGAAAAGGTCTGCTTTGAATTATAATGAATGAAAAGTATCATTAAAACTGAGCGAGAACCGATTTTTTGGGGGGGGGGGCGCTAGTAGAACTGCTTTGGACATGTGAGAAGAGAAATATATCCNGCAAAATCTCCATTCCCTCCTCACTCCAGGGGAAGGATATTGCAAAATATCCATTCTTTCCTCACTCCAGGGGAAGGATATTGCAAAATATCCATTCCCACCCTACTCCAGGGGAAAGATACTGCAAAATCTTCATTCCCTCTGCAGTCCAGGAGAAGGATACTGAAAATCTCCATTCCCTCTGCACTCCAGGGGAAGGATACTGCAAATTCTCCATTCCCACCCTATTTGCTGGTTCTCCGAACTACTCAAAATTTCTGTTACTAGTTCTCCAGAACCTATCAGAACCTGCTGGATTTCACCCCTACAATGAACTGAACCCAAAGTGGCCTTCACTTTTCTGTTCTTCTTCCAGTCTACTGGTGCTAGAGAACAACCTTGGCATCTAATGGAGATAGAAACTGTAAGGCAAGGTCTTCCTAGTGGCAATTTAAAAACAGCTGTCCATGGGAAAGCATCAATTTGGCATATCTTCCAATGGGAGAAATATATAATTTACCGGTTTTTCAAAGACTGTTTTAAATAAATTCCATCAGTTCTAGGTAGCATCTGTCATGTCTTTAATATCCATCTGTTCAATCATTAATATCATTAATAATCTATCCATTAAGTTATTTGCTCCATACATTTGTTGGGAATAATCTTATTAATGCATCTAACTGATATTAGTTTTAATTTCCACTAATTGTTCTGATTAATTAATAATGGATAGCCTCTATTAATCTGCAGATTAATCTGCAGATTGTTTTTTTTGAAGACTCTTGGGAATAGTTCTTGTGAAAATGCAAATTTTCACCATGTGTATGTACGCGACGGGACATGGTGGCTCAATGGCTAAGACGCTGAGCTTGTCGATCAGAAAGGTCGTCAGTTCGGCGGTTCGAATCCCTAGCACCATATAACGGATTGAGCTTCCATTACTTATTGCAGCTTCTTTCAACCTAGCAGTTCGAAAGCACATATAAAATGCCAGTAGAAAAATAGGAACCACCTTTGGTGGGAAGGTAACAGCGCTCCATGCGCCTTTGGTGTTTAGTCATGCCAGCCACATGACCACAGAGACGTCTTTGGACAGGGCTGGCTCTTTGGCTTTGAAGTGGCACTGCCACCTAGAGTCGGGAACGACTAGCACATACGTGCGAGGGGAACCGTTACCTTTATCTACGCAATATAAAAGTTTAAAAGTTGTAACTTGCTCTTATAAAAAGTGGAAAAGAAGCATTGTTTTATGTTATGTATCTTAGATTGTGGGACAGCCTCCCCGTTAGGAATAGAGGAGAAATGGATCATATTTTATTCACATTTTAAGGTAGCAGAACCAAAGTAGCAGTTCCCAAAAAATATAATGAAGCAGGGTTCACAATAATGGCAACATTTACCATTTGGGGGATCTTCCCAAATGTGTATTAAAAGTACACATATTAGAGAAAAAAGCATGCACACGATACCCTCAAATTAGGTAAAATTGTTTGGCAAAAAAAGAAAAACCCTAGGAAAAATATACACAGATACATATATCTGTGAAGGGATCCTTTCTAGTTTTCTGGAGAGTTTTCTACAACCATCCCAGCTGATTTCTGATAGGCAAAATCAGATAGCATGAATTGAATCACTGAACAAATTCTGATCCCAATTGTGGAATTATCCATAGTTTTATGAATGTTGACATTTGATCAAAACTGGAAGATTAGTAATGTTTGGAATAGTCTGATTAATTAATGTAAACTTAATTCTCTTTCTCTTTTTCTCTTTCCCTTTCTCTTTCTCATTCTCTTTTCATTCTCTTTCCTTTTCTCTTTCTCTCTTCTTCCTCTTTCATTCTCTCTTCTCTCATTCCCTTTCTCTCTCCCTTTCCCTCTTTCTGTTCCTCTCTTTTTCTTTCTCTCTCTCTCATTCTCTTTTCCTTTCTCTTTCTCTTTTTTTCTTTCACTCTTTCTCTCTCCCTTTCCCTCGTTCTGCTCATCTCTTTTTTTTCTCTCTTTCTCTTTCGCTATCTCTATATTTCTCATTCTCTTTTCCTTTCTTTTTCTCTCTTTTTCTTTTTCTTTCACTCTTTCTCTCTCATTCCCTTTCTCACTTTCCCTCTTTCTGTTCCTCTCTTTTTCTTTCTCTCTTTCTCTTTCTGCCTCTGCAAACAGGCCTCACAGCCATGGCTGAAGCAATGAAGTTGCAGAAGATTAAGCTTATGGCCATGAACAGCCTCCATGGAAGCGGAAGTCAGAATGGGACCGAGTCGGAGAATGAAGAACTGAATTCGAATGCAGGTAAATAAAGCAAGTCTCAACTGTGAATTGTTTGCACATCTGTGGAGATTCCCAGTCACCCAGGTCATGGTTGTCCCAAAGATGCTTTTTCCAGCAGGCAACTGGACTTTATGAAGGATAGTATTAGATACAAAAAGGGGTTTTATTTTCTTTCTTATTTTGTATTAAAAGTGTTTTATTTTTTATTTTTCAACATAAAAAACATTCCATCTTTCCTTAAACATTGTTCTTCTGGGTACAGATATCTCTCTGCAACAGCTTTCAACATTTACAACATCCTTCACATTAATATTAATTCCCTAATCTTAAAATTACTATATATTAAGCAATTGAACATTATTAACCTGTTCATTTTCCTCTTAACATCTTCTAATAAAATTACGATAATAACATTAAGCATAATTATCTTCCTCATCATAATACTAACAATTATCATCTAGTTTATACCTCTATCTTAACATATTTTTTCTCTTCTTTAGTCTTCTTCCCTTATTTCCAATTTCCCTTTTTTCCTCTAACCATTGATAAAATCCTATATTATATAATATTCAGTTTGTTCTTTTTCAGTAATTATTATTGTTAATCTATTCATTTCTGCACATTCTAATGTTTTCCTGATCACCTTCTCATCAATAGGAATCTCTTCACTTTTCCAATGTTGTGCACATGCAATTCTAGCTAGAGTTTAATACATGGATGATTAAAAAGGGGTTTTATTTTCCTCTTTGTTGCTATTTTGGATAAGATGCATCCTTTAGAACAATCATTTTATTGGGAAACAAGAGCACATCACACCTAAAGGAGCTGCGGGAATGCAGAGTGGAAGATGACTTTCCATTATTGTCTTAATGCAACATGAATTATGCTATTTTTTTCCCTCCTCTTTAAGAAATCATCTGTAATTGGCAGGAAAATCCCTACATACATATGAGACCCCTGCCGAGTCCCACTGGGTTGTTTTCTCTCTCTTTTGGCAACAATTTTGTTTTCCCTTTTTTCCTTCTTGCTTTCTTTTTTAAATGTTAATCATGCCTTTTGACTTTGGAAAATGGCAATATGAAGGCTCCGTCAGAAGGAAAAATTGTGCAGGTAAAGGNTTGATGGCATGCTTTCGTTGGCGCGCGTTTGTCGTTGCGCTTCTGTGGGCACGATTTCAACCTTGCGGTTTTCTCGCCACGGTTTTGTCGGCGTGCTTTTGTCAGTGAACCCCCTTGGTGTAGAGCAGGGATGTCAAACTCACATCGTCACAGCAATATCATGTCACATATCGGGACTTTGCTAAACCAGGCATGGGCGTGGCCAGCATGTAATGCATCCGCCCATGGGCTGGGAATTTGACAGCCCTGGTGTAGAGGGTCCATATGAAGCAAAAGGGCTAGGATTGTGTTTAAAGTTGCCGCTCAAAGTCAAAGCCCAACACCAAAGAATCAGCAACCTTTCTCCTTTCTGAATTGTGGATTAAAAATTTTCGTCTTGCCCCGCCCCAAATCCACATCTCACTCTTGTCTAGTGATTCTCCCTGGGTAAACCATCTTTTTGCCTCTAGTCTACAAAGAGACAGAGAAAGATTGCTCCAAAGGAACGAAAAAATTTGGCTTCTGTTGTTATATTCTCAGTTCAGTGAAGCAGGAGGCAGATTGTATGTCATCTTCCTCCTTCTAGGAAATGCTCAAAATAACTTAAGAATCAACTTTGGGCAGAACAAATTAAAAGCCAAGCAAAGCAGAGCAAAGCTCGAATAGCCAACTCTTTCCTACCCCCTGACCACCTCCTAATAATATGTATTTTCACAGGGGATCGATTAGTTAATTCCCTACTTCCAAATTAATGATTTTATTGGGCAGGGGGCTTTTTTGGAGCACAGCTGAACAACTTTGTGCCAGAACTACACAAAGCCTACTAAAGCTTTGGAAAGTTGAGATTCAATTGTTAAGGAACATGTAAAAAGAGGGTCTAGCTATTAATTCATAAATGGAAATAGCAATAGCAATAGCAGTTAAACTTATATACCGCTTCATAGGGCTTTCAGCCCTCTCTAAGCGGTTTACAGAGTCAGCATATTGCCCCCAACAATCTGGGTCCTCATTGGACCAACCTTGGAAGGATGGAAGGCTGAGTCAACCTTGAGCTTGGTGAGGATTGAACTGCTGGCAGTCAGCAGAATTAGCCTGCAATACTACATTCTAATCATTGTGCCATCACAGCTCTTATTACTCTTATTAGGGTGGGAGTGAGGGAGGAAGGGAGGAAGGAAGGAAGGAAGGGCAATAGCACTTAGACTTATATACCACTTTACAGTGCTTTTACAGCTCTCTCTAAGTGGTTTACAGAGTCAGCACTATTGCGTCCCCTCTCCCCAACAATCTGGATCCTCATTTTACTGACTTCGGTCTCCTTCTGCGACCTTCTGACGCACAAAATCAACGGGGGAGCGAGATTCACTTAAGAACTGTGCTGCAGCGATCAACTGCAGTGATTTGCTTAATAACTTGCGGCAAGAAAGGTCGTAAAATGGGGCAAACCTCACTTCCCAACTGCCTTGCTCAACAAAACAAATGTTGTGCTCACCTCTGGTCATACATAAGGTGTTCAACGCATTAGTCTACATCATGGCTTGAAATGAATAAACCAAAAATAAAAGAAGGTTGTATTTTGAACGTCCCGTCTTCCGAAATCAGCAGACGCAGCGCGCGCACGCACACATACACAAAACACACACCGAAGCAGTAAGCCACGTTCACCGAGGCAAACATTTTATTTTAAGGAGACAGACCTACAGTTTCTCTGATTCGAGGTTGCGTTTAATAGCTTCTCTAATGGTTGCAACATGACTGCGCATCTTGATTTCAGCATGAATAACAACCTGTTCGTGTTTCATTTAGTTCCAAATGAGAAATTCTGCCTTTTTATTGTTTTAGGAAATTAGTCTGTGTACTATTGCTCCTGAAACTTTATAATTAATCACGAAAGGTTACGGCTTTTGAGAGTTTTCGGGGGGGGGGGCGGAAATAGGCGCTTGAAGGATTACAACTGTAGCTGTCAAGTCAGAAACATGGGCCTTCACATTTGTTTTGAACGGTGTATCTTCCATTCTTTTGAAGACATACTGCTAACGCACAAAGACACACAATGTACACACGCACACACTTCAGGGCAGAATTACAAAGAGTTAGAAGTTGCCGGCTGACTTTGGAAAAATGAGAGTTTGCCATAGGGCCATTGGCACTAGAGGGATAGAAAATACATACAGGTACACTTTGACTTAACAACAATTCATTTGGTGACTGTTCCAAGTTGCAACGGCACTGAAAACAGTGACACATGACCATTTTTAGAATAGGGTAGAATAGAATAGATATTAGAATGAAAGAATAAAATAGAATAGATATTAGACTGAAAGAATAGAATAGAATAGAATAGATATTAGAATGAAAGAATAGAATAGATATTAGAATGAAAGAAAAGAATGGATATTAGAATGAAAGAATAGAATAACAATGAATAGAATAGAATAGAATAGATATGTTGATGTTGATTTTATTTATATGCCGCCCTTTTCCCC